TAATTGACATGGATCCTGGTTGTGTGACCACAGACAAGCCGTGAACCCCCTGAGTCTTTTGTCATTCACTCATTAACAAGCATGTACTGAGCATCCGCTGGGTACCTGGGCCTGGGCCAGATGCTAAGGACAGAGTAGCAAAGAAGCAAAATGGAACCTCCAGTCCAATTGAGAAGAAAAATAGCAACAACCAGACAAACAGCAACGTAATATAATAATGATAACAGTAACAGCCAACCTGTCCTAAGTACTTACTAAATGCCAGGAACTATTAAATGAGATATCTACATATATCTCAACCCATTTAATTCTCACCATAACCCCATGAAGTAGGTATTACTATTATTCCCATTTTACAGATGAGGAAACTGAGGATCAGAAAGGGTAGCTATTTGCTCAAGGGCACACAGCTGAAATTTCAACCCAACTATGTGCTATGCTGCACTCAACTCTATAACTACAAAGGTCACAGTTTCTACAAATTGAAACAGGACCATAGAGCATATTAGGGCAATTGAACCTGGTCTCAAGGTACAGATAAGCCTTCCCTAAGAATATGACATTTCTCCTGAGACCCCAAGAATGGAAAAGAATAAATCAGGCAAGAGCAAGGGCAAGAGCCTCTGGAGTGGAAGAAACAAAATAAGAGAGCAGTAATGAGTTTGTGCTAAGGTTTCTGAGTGAGTGGTGTTCGTGTAGTGGTCACTGGCCATGGTGCTAACGGTGGATTCTCTTCTCCCCACCCCGCCCCCAGAAACTCCTGGCCAGGGCACTTTATGACAACCGCCCTGACTGCTCCGACGAGCTGGCTTTCTGCAGAGGGGACATCCTGACCATTCTGGAGCAAAATGTGCCAGAAAGTGAGGGCTGGTGGAAGTGTTTGCTCCACGGGAGGCAAGGCCTGGCCCCTGCCAACCGCCTCCAAATCCTCACAGAGGCTGCTGCAGACAAGCCCTGCACCACATTCCTGCGGGGCCTGGGAGAAGCTCTCACCAGCTCAGACGAGGTCTACCAGGTGCCAACTCTGCTCCACCCACCCCCACTAGGCCCCGTCTACGAGCAGATGAAGAGTTGGGTGGAGGAACCCCTGCCCCCCATCGCCCAAGTCTACGAATTCCCCGACCCACCCACCAGTGCCAGAATCATCTGTGAGAAGACTCTAAGCTTTCCGAAACAGGTATGCGTATTTCCAAATGAAAGAGATGGGTCAGGGGGTGTGGACACACCCACGGGGCTTAACTACCCTTGAGTCGCGGATGCCCCTCAGATCAAACGTGCAAAATGGGAGCCCAGATCGCCGGCAATCACAGCTGGGGAGCTTGTCCACTGGGCTGGGATGGAGAGCCCAGCGGCCCCCATCCTGTTGTCATTCGCACTCCTGGCCCCTGTGATTCCCCAGCTCCCCAAGACCGGCCACAACCTGTGGGAAACAGAACCCTTAGTCCAGCTGGGGGAAGGCACTGCAGACATTCGTGGTGGTCTTTTCACAGCATGAAGGAACACCAGGACTGCCAGTGGCAAATGGCAGGCTCGAATTTCCAGGGGTTCAAAGGCAAGAAGTTACTCATTACATTTAAAATGTATATTCTCCTCAACCCAGAAATTTTACTTCTAGAATTGCTACAGAAATACACAAGCAGACAAATATGTGTCTGGATGAGGAGGCTATGGCTGTTACAGCATCATTTGTTATAGGGAAGAACTGAAGATGCCTAAATGTTAGGGGTGTCTTGTTTGTGTTTTAGAGATGGGGTCTCACCCTGTCGCCCAAGCTGGAGTGCAGTGGCACGTTCATAGCTCACTGCAGCCTCAAACTCCTGGGCTCAAGTGATCCTCTTGCCTCATCCTCCTGAGTAGCTGGGATTACAGGTGCGAACCACCACACCTGGCAGATGACTAAATATTTGTTAAGGAGAGGATTGATGACACAAATTTTGGCATACCACAGCGCACTACTATGCAGTTGTTAAAAAAGATGAGGTATTTCTATGAGGTTGTTTTAAGGGGGAAGAAAGAGCCATTAAAACAAAAACTCAAAAAGGATTCTGTGCACAAGCGTATGCATATGTGTGCATGCTCACACATGGAAAGAGACCGAGAACACATGTGTAGCGTGGTTACCCCCGAGGAAGCACAACTGGTTAAAGAGAAAGTGAAAGAAGGCAGTCCGCAGGGACCTTGATTTTATTTGCTCCCATGTCCCCAGCACCTAAGACAGGGCCGGACACAGGGTAGGTGCTCGATACAAATTTGATGAACAAATAGATCAGAAAATTGATTTGTATGCCATACTGAACATACGATATCTGTGATTTTTTTAAATATCAATTTTTTAAAAACAGAAGAAAAGAAGCACTCAGTAAATGCAGAACAAAAACATTTTTTTAGTAAGGAAAAGAAATAAAAGAAGGGAGGAGAAAAATAACATTCTATTTTCCACAAAGCCCTGGCCTTCATGAGGTGTTATGGATGCAGAGCAGATTGCACAATCCCCAGCCACTCTGGGCATTTCCTGCCATCAAACGCTTTGCTTTTAGCCCAAATGACACATCCCATTTGGCCGCAGCTCTGGCAGGGTCTCGACAAGGTCTATGTCCAGGGAAAGGCTGCTCCCCTGAAGTATGTGCTGTGAGGACCCCAGGAATGTGCCACTCACCACTCAGACCTCCTCCACACCAGCTTCCAAGGCTGCCTTCAAACAGGACAGGCTGATTCCTTAAAAGACTTTCGAATACTTTAGATTTTCTAACTCCCTGGGCTGCAAGGCATAGAATAAGACAGCTATTACACAGAACAGCTGCCATGCACAGGGGCTGGCTGCAAATATGAGGATGAAGCTGGTTGAGCCTTGGTGGACCCTAACTCTCTTTTCTGGAACAAGTGGCCCAGATCTAGGCCTGATGTGCTCAGCTGCTGTCTGAGCAGCTGTCTCAGAGGAGGGCTTTGGTGGTGTTTTTTCTAAGAACAAGTGACATTAGCTGAAGTTAATTTGAATTTCTTTCCAAAGCCATTAAAGAAAAAACAAAATCAGTGCCCATTTTCAACCTCTCCCTAAAAAGAAAACAGATACAATGTCCTCTGTTGGCCAGGTGTCCTCAGCACCCAACACAGTGCCAGGCCCCTACAAGATGCTCAGTACTTGTTGAGTGAATGAAGTTGACCAAAACACAACATAAGACTTCAGAAACATGGACCCCACTGTCACCTTCTAGTTGGCATTGGTATGAAAGGAACGATGAGTTTACTGCTGAAACTCAACTCATAAAAACAGGGCGTTAGCTGGGAGATTTGTCCTTGACGTGAAGCACGTCGACCACGTGAGCCCTCGCCTGTGCGGGCTACAGCAACCAACAGAAACCACAGCCACCGAAGGGGAATTCAAGGCCTCGTTGCCACTAAGGTTTTGAGGTGGCCACACTTAAACACCTGGGCAACTTTCCTGCTTTTTTTTTTTTTCCTTCCCTCAGTTTCCTCCACGTCTGCCCTAAGTACATGTTTGTTCCCTCCCTCCTGCCCCTCCTGTTTATTTATTTTTTCAGTTTTTAAAAATGTGTTGCCTTTTCTGTTAAAGCAAAAGATGCCGTCCGTGTCTTGGAAGCCAGGGGTCCTGGCCCACTTGGCTTCTGGGTCACCCACTGTCATGCCCGGTGACTGGGAACAGCACAACACCCTCTGGATTTCTCTTCCCTCCTCTGTATCAGGAGAGGGTTGGACCCCATCATTTGTAAAGTCACCTCCAGTTGCACCTTCTGGTTTTTCTAAATAACTTAGCTTCTCCCTCTACCCTAAGGAGAAAGGAGCTAGAAGAACTAGAAGAATAGTTCATAATCAGTTGAGGATTTTCTGATTCACAGAAAAGACAGGCATCTCCTCCCCAGTCATATAATCTGGTGTTTAATCCCAAGTCTAAGATAGCCCAGAAAATGCGTTCTGAGCAGAAGCGGCCATTGGTAGAACCAAGCAAGTCCGAGCCACCAGCTTTGAGCTGTTTCCCAAGGGCAAGTTCATAGGTGGAGCACAGCCTGGGTGAGTCCTTTCACAGACTGCCTTTTATACTTGTGCTGACTATCTCTAGGCTAAGGGTCGCCCCAAATTAAAACTCAAGAAGGTGGAAATGTCGCTTTTATCAGGTTGTCCTAAGAGAGGTGTCTGCATGTCAGAATCAGTCGTCTCTACTGCTGGACCTCTGTGGACCTTTAGATTAGAGCAACTCTTCATTTAACAGATGAGAAAACTGATTCCCAGGGAAGTGAAACTGCCCGTCCACGGTCACGCAGCTGAGGAATCTGGAGCGTCCTCGTTGTGTCTGTGCATATCTGTCTAGCCCTCGCCTCCAGGCCCCCCAGACAGAGTCCTTATCCTAAGCACCTCTGCGTCCCCTTAATCTTCTTTACCTGACTCTGTGGCTGAAACTACTCTTTCAGTGAACTTTTTATTGACATTTCACACATAGATCCTAAGGGTCAAGCTTAGTTACTAGGATCCTGATCAAGAAACAGAATAAAAGGAGCACCCTAGAAGCCCCTGTGCCTTCTCTCTGTCACTTTCCCCAAGGTAGCCACAATCTTGATCTTTGTTGTATTTTTTATTCCAACTTCCTTAATATAATATGCTGGCCTGACTTAAAAAAAACAAACAAACAACAAACACCACCACATAAAAAACATGTTTGATTTCAGTTTAAATTCAGAAGGGACTCTTTTTTATTTCAAGTGAAAAGGGCCAGATTTCCTAGTAAAATTGCTCTTGGACCCACTGGTTCCTGAACTGGAGTTTCCTTCTGTCTCCCTAAACATTTCAAAACCATGTTTCTCAAACGTGTTCTTTAACTGATTGCCATCTCAAACCTATGTTTTCCAAGAAGCAGTAGGCATTTTTGAACTGGCTTCCTTCCATCTGCGATGTCACACAGGAAACTCCCTTTGCTCTTGTGGGCATATGAGACCCACAAAGTCAGCCGTATAGTAAAATGGGCCCGAAATCACAGGGAGAAATGGGTGATGGGCAGCTTTGGAAAGGGTCTGCAGTGGGAGAGCCTGACGTGTTCAGATAAGTGGGGAAAGGAGGGAGGAGAAGTAGGGGTGATGGCCACCGGTCAGGGACACTCACACAAGGTCCCTGGGCTTGCACGGTGCATGGCCTGTTAGGCCTGATAAGGAGCTTGGATTTAATTCAAAATGCATCAGGGAACCACTGATAGGTTTGCCCTGGACCAATGAGCCTAAGACCAACAGGGACAGAGGCAGGTTTATTGACTGTAAAGAGGAAGATCCCAGAGAGGGGGGGACCACAGGGCAGCGCGCAGAGGAAAAGGCAGCGTAACTGTAAGATGGGGGAAGGCGGGGTTTGGGTGAAATGCAGGCAAAGCCATATCTCAGTAGGCTCCATGTAAAACAGGCAGCATGTGAAGGGGTCAGTATAAGCCCAGACAGCAAGGAGGGCACAGGCTCCTCTTTCCTTGGGGACCATGGAGTTGGGGCAGAGGTAGAATGTGGGGCCTGGGTACCCTTATCTGAAGCTCTGCACAGGGTGCTGGGGACGAAGGCTGCTCCTCTGTGTCAGTGACTCAGATCTCCAGGCAAGAGTGGGATGTTTCGGTCTTACTGATAGCACTTCAGACAGCTGTGCTTCTGGGAGCCTAGGATTTCAGAGAACCAAGTTTCCCAGAGAGTAAGAAAGCAGTTGTCAAAGAAGGGAGCTGTTTGGAAACTTGCCAGCCATCACATGTCCTTGGGAGAAACGTTTGCACTGCTCACTTTGCAGCTGCTTTATCTGAGCCTGTTTCCAGGCAGATGAATGGCCGGGCGGATTTTTACACTTAGAGCTGGTTTTTACTGTTCAGGCTGTACATGGTCATTCACCAAAAACAAGCTAACAAAAAAACAAATTCTAGCACCACATGCCAGTCCCAGTCCTGGGTCCTGGGGACCCACATGCCCAGTCTCGAGAGTGAAGGGCCTGCACGTCACGCTGCCGGGCGACCACCCCAACAGCGTTGCCAAGCTGTCTTTGCCGTTTGAGAGGTAACTTCAAACATGACTGTGATAACCAGCGTGACCTTTTTTCCCATCTCTCCTCTTTTCTCTCCAAGGCCCTCTTCACGCTCCCCAGACCTGCTCGGGCCTCGCTGCCAACTCTGCCTTCCCAGGTATATGACGTGCCTGCCCAGAGCCGGGTCCCCTCAGCCCTTAAGGTGAGGCTCCTTCAGTGGCCCCTGCTCCACCCAGAGTCGGGGGCCGTCCACGTCACCCAGACATTGCATTTCAGCTTTACCGAGAAAGATCTCGGGCTTGGTTTGCACAAACTCCAAAACATACACCACCACACAGAGGCCACCTTTGTAACCTCCTCTGTGCCTGTGGAGCCCAGACCTGCTCCGGAGAATGCTATTACCATTGGAATTCTGAATATTTAAAAATTTTTCACTTTTCATTTGTAATAGATATTTCATATATGCTTGTGCATACACACACACACACACACACACACACACACACGCACATGCATTTAAAAAAATATTATCTTGAAGGATATGCACCATAGTCTTAACTGTGATTATCTTAACCTTGATTATCTTTGGGGGATGAAATTTTAGTTGTTTTTTCTTAACTTACTTGTATGTCACTGGGCCATTCAATTTGTAAGACTAGCTTCATGTGATCAAAACGTAGCTTCCTCCTGCCTTAGCCTATCAAAACTGCTCTGTGGCGACTGCTCTGCGGCGGGTTCTCCCTGGTGGTGGCAGTGGCTCTCTACCTCTGCTGCATGTCGGAATCACCTGGAGGCTTTGGCCAAGCTCGCTGCCCGGGCCGCCCCCGCCACCACCCCACAAGACTCTGACGTAGCAGGTCTGGGTGGGGCCCAGGCATCAGGATTTTTAAAAGTTTCCAGGCGATTCTAATGCACAGCCAGGCCTGAGAACCACAGTTCTAGTGTAAATAAAACACCAGTCCATCTTGTCATCAGCCTCTCTCCTTTCACTTTTCCCAAGCCAGAGTCAGCCCCTGTGCACTGTGACCCCAAGGTCAGAGGACACAAGTCATTGAATGGTCCCACTGGAGTACCTGACACTTCACTTGAGAGTGAAAAGTCCCCCACTGTTCCCTCACTGAGGGGAATTCTCAGGAGACTCACAGCCCAACTGTCTCTAAAGAAACCCCCTCCAATTTCTAGCTGTTTCTTTCTTTGCAAAACCTCTTTTGGTGCCCTCTTGCCTTGCCTTGGAACTTGGAACCTATTTTTCACATCCTAATATATGTATTTTCCAATTACTGTACATACTATATATATTACATAATAGGTATATCTCTCAAACCACTGAAGGAGCTTGAGCAGGGGGAAGCACAGTGTCTGGCACTTAGTAGGTGCTCAGTATGACGTACGCTTGTCAAATGAGTAGCTCAAACCCTCTTTTTATTATTGCCTTTGCTACTGTATGTATACAGGGTCATTGGGCTTAGCATCTGGTAGTGGGTAGGCACTCAATAAATATTTGCAGGATAAATACATGAGTGATAAACACAGGAACATTTTCCTTGAGAAAAATAAACAAGAAAGAAGGAAGACACATTAGATCCCAATCTCATTTACTCTTCTGGCTTAATTCAATCTTAAGACTAACTCACAGAAGGAGACAAACTACAAACTCTACAAACTACTAACTTAGGCAACTGCAGTTCACTCTCTCTATGGTTTTTCTCCCTACCTTCAGTCAAGAACTCTCCTTTTAAAGCACGAAGTCCACTGCTGAATGTATGTCCACTGCAGCACAGAGACTTTCACCATTAGAGCACCATGCCTGAAAGCTCAAAGTCTTCAGTGATTTGTTTTCCTTTGGGAAAAAATCAACAGAGTGGGGAGGGTTTGTGGTATGTAGCCATCATGAAAGGAAAATCCAAGTTGTCCCCCTTTGTGGTCTCTCCCCAGGAGCCAGAGAAGCAGCAGTTATACGATATTCCAGCCAGCCCCCAAAAGGCAGCACTCCACCCCCCGGCCAGCCAAGCAAGCGTAAGTGTGAAGAGGTGCTGAGCGGCAATGCTGTGAACACCTAAAAATTCTCTGGGAAGAGTTATTAGCTTGGTAAAAAATCAGAATGTAAATTCCTTGTAACAGACCTTATTGCATTTGAGGCAAAAGCCCTAACTGCACTGGTGTCCAGGAATAGAACCAGCTATATGGTTAACTTCTCCATGTTATTGGGAATATTAAGTGGGAATCCCTGCGAAGGGTCTGGTACAGGGCCTGGCACAGAGCAAGAGCTCAGCAAACATTAGCCAACCGCTTCTTCTCACGATGGGCCTCAGGGACGTGTCGTGTTAAAGTACACTTCTATGTGTGGATGGGGGAATGACTGAATTTGAAGTCTGTGTAATCCACGTTTAGCACTGGATTCTACCATATGTATGTGTCCCATAGATACATTTATGCTTGAGGTTATTAGGGGATGCCCTAGAAAAGAGGTAGTGCTTCAGCAGTGTCATGAGGGATACATAGGAGTTGGCTGGGTGAAAAGGAAAGCGTAGGAAGGGAGTTTAGAGCAGAGGAACCGGTTTGGGCAAAATGAAATAACAGCAGTATGAGTAAGTGGTCTGGGACAGTGGAAGGTGAACAGCCAGGTGGCTGGACCCCCAGGGAGGTGCTGGCAGATGAGGCAGGCACATGTGGTGGAAGTGGAGAGAAAGGAGGTTCAAAAGGAGTTGGAGCCAGTTGTGAAGGGCCTTGATAAGAGAAATGGGGAGTCACTGAAGGAACCTGAGCAGGGGAGTGACCATCAGATTTAAATGAGTCGTTCAAACCCTCTTTTTATTGCTACTAACTGCACAACTTTGTGTTTCTTCCACAGGAACAGAGTGTTCTCCTTACACCAATAAGTGCCTTAAAAAGAGGAATCTATACTACATTACCAAATCCTCAGAAATCAGAATGGATTTATGACACTCCAGTGTCTCCGGGAAAGGCCAACATCAGAAACACATCTCCGGCCAGCTCTGCAGAAGAATCGGGGCTCCATGCTGTTCCCAGTTCTGGCTCCACTTTCCACAGTCCTCCAAGTAGCAGAGACAGGTCCCTCCCTCCACAGCTGAATGTGCCCATGCAGAAAAAATTCAGTCTTCCAGAAATTCCTTCTTACAGCTTTCCAGCACATGGGGACACAGTCCCTTTAGATGAAGGTGTCAGCTACAAGGTTCCTTCCAGCTTCCTGATCCCCCGAGTGGAACAGCAGAACACCAAGCCCAACATTTACGACATCCCCAAAGCAACGCTGAGTGGCCCTCTTGCTGGGAAAGAGCTAGGAAAAGCCAATGAGGCTTCAGAGAATTCCATGGGCTCTAACTCCCCACATTTCTCCAGACAGACAGCTTCCCTGTCTCCTGAAGAGGACAGATTATCTGTGTCCAGTTCTGACAGCAGAGCTAGCGTTTCTTCGTGCTCTTCCGCATCCACTGACTCCTCCTCCAGCTCTTCCTCGGAGGAGTCAGCAAAGGAGCTCTCCTTGGACCTGGACTTGGCCAAGGGGACAGTGAGGGCTCTGCAACACAAGGTGGTCAGCTCTACGGCAGGCCTGCTGCTCTTTGTAAGCAGGAAGTGGAGGTTCAGGGACCATCTGGAGGCCAACATTGATGCAATCCACAGGGCTGCTGATCACATAGAAGAGTCTGTAAGAGAATTTCTGGATTTTGCCCGAGGAGTCCGTGGGGCTTCCTGTAACCTCACTGACAGCAACCTTCAGGCCAGAATCTGGGATCAGCTACAGACAATCTCCAACTCCTACCAGATCCTGCTTGAAACAAAGGAAAGCCTGGATAACTGCAATTGGTCCCTGGAAGTCCTGGTGACTGACAAAGTCCAAAACAGCCCAGATGACCTTGAGAGGTTTGTTTTGGTGGCACGAATGATTCCAGAAGACATCAAGAGATTTGCCTCCATTGTTATTGCCAATGGGAGACTCCTTTTTAAGCAGAACTATGAAAAAGAATCTAAGTGTGAAAAATGCATCCAGCCTCCCCAAAGAGAAATTGAATCATACCAAAGGAGTACTCCTTTTATTAAGCAGAGGGAAAATGAACACTCCCCTGAACTATTAAAGAAAAACAGGACAAATACCTGTGGACAGGTGAGTTCAGAGTTTCAAGTGGCATGACAAGGGAGCTTCAATCATTACTAGGTGGTCACCACTAAGGTAGATGCTGAGAATCTTTCAACAGTATGTAAGCTTTGGGGAGATACTGGTTCCATTTTCTAGAAAATAGAATTCATAAAAGTAAAATTCTAGATGAAACCTGATTAGCAAGTAAGATAAGTATTTTATTATTAAGGCAGATAAATCAGCATATTTGGATTAGATTTCTTCTGAAAATGTGGAGAGTTCAGCTTTGCCACTGATACTATTAATAGAATTAGAAAGGATTTTAAAACTTTTAAAAAAATCTGTTCTTTGAGTATATTTTTTATTTTCTATTTTACTTTATTTTATTTTTATTTCAGTATGCCATTTCAGCCTAACTTTGAGTAGATTTTTTAAATCTCACCAAGTTTCCTTGCATTTTAAAAAGTTATAAATTTAGTCATTGTCAGTGTGTTTCTTAGCAACAGAAGAGGAAGTATTAAGTAAACATTCTTCCAATGTTCATGATCTAATCAGCCTCCAGACTTTAGTTACTCTTAGAAATGCTTTGCTGGGCCAGGCGCGGTGGCTCACGCCTGTAATCCTAGCTCTCTGGGAGGCCGAGGCAGGAGGATTGTTTGAGCTCAGGAGCTCCAAACCAGCCTGAGAAAGAGCGAGACCCCGTCTCTACTAAAAATAGAAAGAAATTAATTGGACAACTAAAAATATATAGAAAAAATTAGCTGGGCATGGTGGCGCATGCCTATAGTCCCAGCTACTTGGGAGGCTGAGACACGCCCAGGAGTTTGAGGTTGCTGTGAGCTAGGATGACACCATGGCACTCTAGCCTGGGCAACACAGTGAGACTCTGTCTCAAAAAAAAAGAAAGAAATGCTTTGCTGGATGAGTTGAGACTTTATAGAAAGAGGAGCTTTAGTTCGGGGATTGCCAACTTCAGGAGGCCCAGCAGGTAACTTGTAGCCATGTCAAGGAAATAATTTGATGCTTTCTGCTCCAGCCTTGGTGTTCTGCTGAAATGCCTCGTGATGCAAGGGCTTTAACACATCCTAGAAATTTGGATATTTAAAATTTACATATATATGTGTGTGTATATATATGTATTACATATATACATATATATATATAAAAACTTTAAAAAACTGTGTGGGTCATTACATTAGGCCACATTGGTAGGCAAAATTCAGCCTTTGGGTTACCAAAGTCTCCTTTCATTCAAAAAAGACATCAGTAGGCAGAACCATCAATAAAAAGTATAACAAGGAATTCTCAAGTTTTAAAGTGAATTTAAACAGTTATATAGTAGTATAAAAACCATTCAAGTTGGTAATTTGGAGGGATTTTATTTTTCAGAGGTTGCCTAACCTAGAAGAGAAAAGAAAACCCATCTTGGAACAAAGGTTAGATGAAAACAAAGACTTAGGGGCAATGGTAAGCTATCCTGCTCACTCTCTAGTACTTCTGATTAACATGTATTATCCCTAGATACGTTTCATCATGCTATGGATAAGTCAGCATTATAGCCATGGCACACATGGGGGGAGATTTGGTTTTTGTGGGTTTTTTCCATTTTTTTTTTTTTTTTTTTTTTAGCAATAGAAAGAACCCTGGAGATCAATGAGTGCAGTGAACTCCAGGGAATGGAATGTGAACCATTAAGCATTAGTGCAATGACTCTGGGTGCTCTGCAAGTTATCATGGGTGGTACCAACATGGCATTAAATAGTACTGACTCACATTCCCTTTGACATTTTCTTTTAATGCTTCCGGTTACAACAATGAAAAAAATATTTTGGTTTGGGGCTTGTGTATCTTTATCACCTCTTACACTTGATGTTCTTTTTTTTTTTTAACATATCAAAGATGTTATCATTGTGCTTATTTTTATTGGTGACCTTCTATTTGTGACAAATTACAGTAGTTTTCCATTTACCAATTTTTCAAGTTTCCTTTAAATTAATTTAAGTAAAAACAATGAGTCCATTTAAAGACAAAGTATGAAGCCAGCAGAGGGTAAGAGGGAGGCAGGAAGGGTACAACTTGGAAGGTTGTGAGAAGGCTGTCTTAGCATAACTGAAGCTTGGGAAACAATGAACCAATTCAACAACCCAGGTTATGGGGCAGTGGAGGGTGAGAGAGGGAAAGTCAGAGGTGTCTAATGACTTGGGTGAGGTCATGTGCCTTCTCGGAGGCAAACTAGAACAAGAACCCAAGCCTCTTGATGCTCAGTTCCCCAAACCCCAAACACTAAACTTTGGGCCTGCCATATTGCTGAAAATCATGCTATTTTGTTCAACATGAAGTATGTCTCAGACGAGTGCTTCTCAAATTTGAATGTATCACAGTCACCTGTAAGGCTTGTTAAAAGTCAGGTGGCTGGGCCGCCACTCCCCGAGTTTCTGATAGGTCTGGGGTGGAGCCCGTTACTTTACATTTCTAAGTTCCCGGGTGATTCTGATTTGGCCATGGTCCAAAGACCACACTGGAATCCCCAGCTTTAGACTGACCGTGCCTCCCGGTGAGAGGTCAGGGGCACCACTGACCATTGGGTGGATAGTTCTCTACTGTGTGGGCTAGACTGTTCAGCTTCCCCAGACACCTTCCCACTAACTGCCTACCTAGTCGATGTGATAACCAAAACTATCTCCACATGTTTCTAGCACCCCAGGCTAAGACTCATAGTACATTTTTTGTTTACCTACAGTTAATATTTTGAAGCAGAGACGCTGATAATCCAATGTCTAGCTCATTGCTTATTATTTCTGACCTCTGCTTCATTCTTCTCATACTCCCGTCTAGATTTCATCTTAACTGACATCTTAATCTTTCCTTCACTTTGTATTATACAGATAATCATTGTTTTCATCTTCCAAATATGAAATTCTAATAACAAATATACTTCTCCAAAGTATACCTTCCTCCTCCTTGTCTAATCCCCTCTCCGACCCTACCAGCCACTGGGGACACAGCCCCCTTTTGAAAAAATATCACTGTTTTAAGTCATATCTTTCCGAGTGCTTCTAGGTTATGAATTTTGAGATCATAGGTAAATGAGAGAGGGTGATATTTAATGGAAAGAAAGAGAGTTTCAGACTTAGCTAAATTATCTTAGAGCTCCAGACCTTTAATTTGCTAAGTGAATGGCCCTAGGTAGCCTTTTCTTTTCTCTGAGCTTCAGTTTCTTCACCTGTAAAATACGGAAGCTTTCAACTGTTACCTAGAGTTGTTGCCACTAAGTTAGGTGCTAAGAGTCTTTCAATTGCATATAGGCTTTGGGGAGATGTTGGCTCCATTTTCCTGGCTGGGCGCGATAGCTCATGCGTATAATCCTAGCACTCTGGGAGGCTGAGGCAGGAAGATCACTTGAGCTCAGGAGTTCAAGACCAACCTAAGCAAGAGTGAGAACCTCCGTCTCTACTAAAAATAGAAAAAATTAGCCAGGCATCGTGGCTCACGCCTGTAGTCCCAGCTACTCAGGAGGCTGAGGCAAGAAGATTGCTTGAGCCCAGGAGTTTGAGGTTGCAGTGAGTGATGATGCCACTGCACTCTAACCAGGGTGACAGAGGGAGACCCTGTCTCAAAAAAAAAAAAAAAAAGTCTTGCAGATTGAGCAAAAACAGAAAAAGGCAGACAACCACAGCCTGCTGATCAAATCTATCTCTTACCTATTTTCTTCTTCCCCTTCTTTAGAATCCTATCTCTCTAATACCCCAACCTTTGAGTCAGCAGACTCCTGAGAAGAAAATCCACCTTTCTGAACACTGCCGGCTCTATTTTGGGGCACTCTTCAAAGCCATCAGGGTATTTAACAGCAGCCTCAGCAACAGCCAGCCCCCAGAGACTTTCATCACTCAGAGCAAGCTGGTCATCACGGTGGGGCAGAAGCTGGTGGACACGCTGTGCAAGGAGACCCAGGAGAGGGACGTGCGCAACGAGATCCTCTGCAGCAGCAGTCACCTTTGCAGCCTGCTCAAGGACCTCGCGCTGGCCACCAAGAACGCAGTGCTCAAGTACCCAAGCCCTGCAGCCCTGGGGCACCTCCAGGCTGAGGCTGAGAAGCTGGAGCAACACACACGGCAGTTCAGAGGGACATTGGAATGAGGACGATCTACCTCCTACTTCCTCTGCTAACCTCTTAGCTTCACATCCACGACCTGCACAACTCTGTCCTGTGCGAAAAGGCAGCCGGGGCATACGATGGCCTAAAACAGACACAGCGCCTAAAGCTAGTATTATCGAGTGGCTAAGTAACCCCAAGACGTTGACTTTCCTACCCCACAGGGGGTCAGGAAAGAGAGTCAGATATTAAATAAAGACCTTGTGAAGTTTAGCATATCATGAAGAGTTTGCAGTGTCAGTGTTTGAAGTGATGTCATAGAAATAATTTTTTATATTAATATATATAGTACATGTTTTAAATTCATTCATTCGACATTTATTTATTGGGTGCCTACTATATGTCAAGTTCTAGGTGCTAGAGATATAGCAGTCCTGCCACCATGGAGCTTACAGTCTAGCAGGGGAGTCAGAGAGTAAAGTGATGAAGAAATACATGTACAACATATCGTGTACTAGAAAATGAAGGAGGTAGAGGGGAAAGAGATTTTTTCAAATGATTAATATTTGTTCCATCTGTTGGAAAATGTAGTAAGATTTTTTCATTTTGGATTGAATTAATTTTGTGATATTGGTACAAATTATGTATCTCTGTATTACACCAAAAAATATATATTTTTGCTATGTTACCTTAACCTAGTTAAAGATGCATATTATATTAATACTTACAACATGACGTGTTCTGTTGGGTTCTCTATTAATTTATTTTGTACATTACAGATTTTGTGTTGACAAATTCTACTGCTCAATTAGAAAAACTTTATACTTTAACAGTCTCAAATCTGTTACAATTTATAATATTATTTAAATATAATCATGATTTTAGACATTGTTTGCAGCAGTCCTTTCTCTGGAAAAGTATTTGATTCATTTCCCCCAAGTTCTGGTACCAGAGTAAAAAGCCTCCAATGTTTGCTTTTGTCATTCAAATGCTTCTTTCTAAAGTCTGCAGAGAGATACAGTAGAGGCCAAGTTCGTATGTGCCACACTGGCACCAGAAAACAAAACTATCACCTGAGGTGGTGCAGACAGGAAGGTGTAGGCAGGATACACGCCACTGGGCAGACATGGAAGTGGTGGGGAGCTCCCCTCAAGTCAAACCACCTCCTCTTCCTCTCCTTGCAGCTGAGTCTTTAGCTCATGTTGCCATAGTTACATAATCCCTCCTGAAGATCAGGGGTCTCCTAGATACATCTCAGCCACATAAACACCTTCACAGCCTAGAAACAGCATCCCCAGGCTATAAGTCACCTGAAATGTTACCAAGTTCAACTCCCATCTGCTACTCTTTACTTGGTAGGCACTTTTAAAATGTTGACTGCTAGCAGGCTAGTTATTTTTATTGAGTTAGTCTCAGGGTCCTAAAAAGAAGGATCCCATCTTTGCGAGGTTTGGTTCTCTGCAACTGGACAGAGACACCCTGGAGAGACACATTCTTTGAACAGATGTGACCTGCTTCAGTTAAGACTCCTGTTACAAGTGATAAACAACCATATCCAATTTGTCCTAAGCAATAAAACAAATTTATTGACTCAAGTATCTAAAAATAATTCGGGGCAGACTGGCTGCAAGACTGGTTGGTTTCAGGGGCTCCACCAGTGTCATCAAGGACCAGTTTCTCAGTCCCACTTTCTCTGGGTTAACTCCCACGATTGCAAGGTGGCTTTCCCAAGTGATGTCCTTCCTGATTCATGGTCAGAGGGCAAAAAAGGGACTTCACTCTGCTTGGATCAGCCTAGATTGGGTGGCTGCCCCTGAGAGCTCCATGATGAGCAAGGCATGGAATACCCAAGTTGACACAGACCCGGAATTGTCTCTCTCTCTCTCTCTCCTTCTCTCCCCACCCCCACTCCCACGTGTTCTGAGAGAGGTAAAGGGATGGCTCTGTCAAGCACTGTGAAGTGGTGACGTTTTATCCTACTTCAAAATAACAAGTTAGCCTGCCACAGTTTTATGGATGCTGACAGAAGACACAACATTCTGGGATCAGAGACTATGGCAGGGGTCCCAAAACCACCCCAGGCCCAATGAGTCACTAGAAGGACTCAGAATATAGTCATACTCGCAGCTATGACTTATTACAGCGAGAAGCTACAAAGTAAAAGCAGCAAAGGGAAGAAGCACCCAGGCCGAAACCTAGCAGAACCGAGCACAAGTTTCCAAGAGTTCTCTCTCAGCAGAGTCATGCAGAACACGTTTAATTCCCCCAGCTACACATGTGACAACATGTGTGAGATGTTGTCAACCAGAGAAGGTCACGAAGCCTCAGCACCCAGGGTTTTTAAGGAGGGCCGATCGTGTAGGCAGCCTCTGCCTGGTACCTACCAAATTTCCAGACTCCCAGAAGGAACGCAGGTGTTTAGCACAAATCACATTGTTTGTGCAAATGGTTTAAGCACAATGAGCCATTCTTATCAATTCTGGGGAGAGTCGGAACCCTCCCAAAATCCAAGTTCCCATACGCCAATCAAAGGCCGACCTTGCAAGCAGGACTTTGTAACACAGTCAGACCTGCTGTGTTAACTCTTCTCTGCGTGGAGGGAAAGGGCTCCTCCCACAGCATCGCAAGCAGCTTATGTTTCATCTTCACATCATTTCCCAGCATCTCCTGAGTCCCAGGACTCGATGCAGAGGTGGGCTCAGGTGGATGCTGTGCCAAAGACATGGCTTTGTACCACAGACAAGGAAACCTCAGTACAGGGATCCCCAATCTTTGACAACAGGCTCTGAGCAAACCTGGCTGACCTTTGCCTCAGAGGGAGACACCATCTTTATTACATTGTACAGCAAACAAACCTGCCCTTGTGCTCTGGGGGGAGACATTATCTCTATCTTCCAAGGCTGCTGGCTACGAACATCCGTGAAAAGATGGTCCAGAACAAAATGCCATCGGTGCCTCTGCTCAGAAGATGTGCAACAAGGCAAGAGACCCATGAAGAACTGTCTCCTGATGCTGATGGGACCCCCTAGCAGAAGTCAGGAATGTTGTGGGAGGAAGGAGGGGTTTTTGCGAGGAGGCAAACAATAAATTGCTATCACTCTGGACAACGTGATTCTTCACACAATAGTAATAATAATAGCAGTGTGTATTTATTAAATATTTTTACTCAAGCACTGTTCTAATGCGTTAACTCAATCTCTCCTAAGTGAGTCTTCCAAAGCACTCTAACAGGTAATGAACAGGTCCTATTTTTGAAATTTTTTAAGAGATGAGTTCAAACTGAGGACCTCTGTTAACAAAGTACAAAACCAAAACCACTGAGTGTAAAATAATGAAAAATGCTGCTCCTAGCTAAATGTGTTTCCTTCCTTTTTTTGAAAGAAAGCAGTTCCAGGGTGAGTTTCCACTGATTAATTCAATAAGATGATTACTTCTGAAAAAAATGTTTAAATAGAATTAAACACAATTTTTTTAGTTTTTGGCAACACTTTGCTAAGTATTTATGCTTAATGCCCTGAATTCTGTACCATTTCCTCCCAAGGAAGGAAGAGGAAATGGTGGGTAGTGTGGTAGCAGCAACTTGACCTCAATTAAGTTAAATTTCATCAGGAGGATGGAAGTGGTGAGGAGCCCATTTAAGAGATCTTCCAGTTTGACAAGTGCTGGGGAGTCATGGTTCTGGTTTGATGGCAATTTTTTTTAATAAAACATCTTTTTAAAAAATTTTATGTTTTCCCTGAGTGTGCATCCTGGCTCTCCACGAGTTGCCCATTTGTGTGTGCATCACAATGAGGACGCCCCTTTCCTTTCCCTCATTCATCTAACTACTATTAATGGAGCACCTCCTCTTTGCCAGGCCTCTGCTGATGGCTAGAGGCACTGCAGGGAACAAAACAAAGGCTCTCCAACATGGTGCTTTCAAGTTCCAGCTGTGGGAGATCAGGAACCAGGGCCCAGATGAGGGAGAGGCAGGCGAGGCATTCTCCTGTAATGCAAAACGTAAGAGGGTGCCCAAAACACTTAGAATCAATATAAATAATATTTTGATGCAATATTTTTTAAGGAATCAGAATCGATGCAAAAAAATCCATGGTGAACAAGATATCAAAATTATTTTTTGGTGGGGGGGGGATGGGGTCTCACTCTGTCACCAAGGCTAGATTGCCTTTGGTAGCTGGGACTGTGGGTGTACACCACCACATCTGGCTAAATTTTTTTTCTACTTTCTGTAGAGATGAGGTTTCGCTATGTTGCCCAGGCTGGTCTGGAACTCAGCCTCAAGCAATCCTCCTGGGCCTCCCAAAGTGCTGGGATTACAGTTGTGAGCCACTGTGCCCAGCCAAAATTTAAATTTATAACATGATATTGGGGTGGTAGGGGCAACGAAGAAAACAAAGCTAGGCAGGGGAGCATGATGGGGGAAGGGTGCTCTTTTAGATGGGGAGGTCAGGGAGACAGCTCTGAGGAGGGGCCCAGGAATGGGGTGCTGAATCCCTTGAGGGAGCCAGCTGAGCAAATGTCCAGGGGAAGTGTATCCCTGGAGAGGGACCAGCAAGTTATGTGCCAGATGTAGGGGAGGAGGGTGGCCAGTGTGGCTGGAACCCAGTAAGGGAAAGAATAGTGGCCAACATGAGCTGGAAGGGGTGGCCGGGGGCCAATTCATACAAGGCCTTGTATATATCCAGAATATTTCAAATATTTCCCTAAAACTGAAAATTAAAAGTAATTTTTGTATTGAATTATTTCAGTTATTACCTCAATTTTCCACTTTAGTTTAACCTTCTTTGGGTCTTCTTCCTATATGTGAACTTAAATAATGGTTATAAAATTCTTCTAAAAATCTTCGCACACAGTGTCTTAGTCTAGTTTTCTTTGCTCTAACAGAATACCTGAGACTGGGCATTTTATAAAGAATAGATTTACTTCTTACAGTTTTGGAGGCTGGGAAGTCCAAGGTTGAGGGGCCTGTATCTGACGAGAACCTTCTTGCTTCGTTGTCCCATGGCAGAAGGTGGAAGGGCAAGAGAGCGAGAGGGAGCCAAAC